ACTCTGCAGGGGATCAGGGTAAGAAATAAAACCATTGAAATAATATGACTTTTTGAAGACCAGTAAGAATAATTTTATAGGTTACTTTTAAAACAGAAATAGAGGTCTGAATTGTTGAAAGTGAGAGCAAAACGTTGTGGGGAGACAGCAAACAGGTGGGTAAGAGGTATGTATGGTGATGATGCTATTTTTACTTTTTCAGATGTCAGCAATGATGTTCTCCAGTATAATGAGGCACCTAGCAGTGGGGACTCCACTCTAAGATGCATATCCTTTGCATTTATTCCTTTTTCCCTATTTAAGAAACCTTACAAAACACTGATAGAGGCCCAGAGTCATTCACGACCGAAATGTGCAAGTTTCAGAGAACCTGAGATGAATTTATGCTACTTTAACCATCAAAGAATCAAAAAATAGAACTTCGGTCTGTGACAAAATTAAAACATGAGGGAGATGGATCTCAGCAAGGCCTATAGCCTCTCTCATCCATGTGAGAAGCCAGGCTGAGTTTCTTTGCATAATAACACAAGCTAAACCAAGTAACACAAGGAAAACCAAAGCCCAAACCAAATATTACTTTGCGAACTGGCACTGTAAGATTTTCAGAAACAAATTTCAGATTCAAGTCTTTCGTAATGTAATGTACAAAGACACAAAGAGTCTAGTTAACTTAAAACTGAAGAAAAATGTGTACTTTCAACTTATTTTGAGATGTTAACATATGTGTCTTTCAGAGGTCAAGGGAAGAGAAAATATGGAATCTTGATGAATCGATATTAAACTTGGGTCTTAATCAAATGTGCTTGAAATTAATGTTTTTATCATCTACTCCTATGGATTTCTTGCTGTTATTTTAACTGACATCAAGGAAGGGACAAAGTACAAGAAAAACCTGGTTAACAACAAGAAAAATATATGTGTGTGTATATATATACACATATATATTTGTATAATACACATATTTATATATATATAAATTTTCTTAGCGTCTTAAAAGTAAATTTATGGCAAATTTAATACTAGCTTAAGAGCAACAAAGCCCAATTATAATTATCTTGCTGGGAAGAGAAATTAATTAAACATCCCAGTGATAAAGACACCATCAGCAAACCTAGAATAAACACACACTGGAGAAGGAGAGGGGCTTGAAATAAAGGGGAAGAGAAGGGGAGGCAATATTTAGCCCATCTGTTCGGACAGTAATGGACGAGGTAGTCTTTTCAAGAGTACATGGAGTGCATTACACTGGAAATGAGACTACCTGGCAGGCAAAGTCAGCCAAGTTCCTAATTCTCTTCTTCAACTTTGTGATTTGCTAATGTGAAACACATGTCTCCCTTTTGCACCAAGTTCAAATAACTCTGGAATTCCAACCGTGCAGCTCAGCGACTGAACCAGAACAAGGGGAGAACTTGTCAGGATTTAAGAGCTTTCAGCAAAGCCCTTCAATTGCAGCCAGCACCCTATTCCACGGAAGGATATCAATTATAGATAGTGACTTGCTTTAGCAGGCAGTCGGGACTGTCAGACACTAGATAGACAACCATGAAGAATCATGAATCTTTCTATTAACTGTAAGAGGGGGAAAAAGAATGGGTCATGGCTATAAATAAGGCAGAGCATCAGAATGGTTTAACACCTTGCCTCTTGGTTGTATGTAGCATGAAAATCAACTAATTCAGGGAACATTTTCTCTCCAAGGAAAGCCATGGGAAAAGAAAGGGTTAATGCTTCCCCGGTCCCTAAAAAAATGTGAGCTTTGTAACTGGTATTTATTCCATCTGCCACCAAAGTAATTAGGTGGACTTGAAGTAGCTGTTCCTTCAATGAACAAAATTGAAAGCACCTATTCTATCCTAGGCCACCACTAATGCTACCAGATACCCTATGAGCAGTAAGGTACCTGAGCGCCACACAATGTGAAATCAATTTAAATACACAAATTTGGAATTTTCACACTTCCAACATGAGTAAAAAGGTGGAATATGGGCCGGGGTTATAGCTCAGTCATAGAGCACTTGCCTAGCATGTGTGAGCACTGGGTTCGATCCTCAGTACCACATAAAAAAAAATAAATAAGTAAAATAAAGTTATAAAAAAAGGTGGATTATAAGTGATATGAGCTAGTGTCTTTATTTAAATTATAATTTGTAATTTATTTAATTAAGTTTACCTACTCATATAATTTAGCTCAGACTAAAATTAATATCATGAAGATAACACATAGGACTTTTTTCTAATCCTGACATGAATTTCTTCCAGCTGACTTGGAAAAAAAGGAAAATCCACTGTTTATATTTACATTCCTATTTTTAAACAGTTTCCATAAAATAGAAAACATGATAATCATTCACTTTGCAGTTTAAACAGCCATTCCTTAAAACAATTCAGATATCTCTAGGCAAACACCATAGGGACCTTTTGTCACTAGCTTAAATACAAATACTTGCAATATTCAAGGTCTTTGAAATACTTTCACATCTGGGCAGTTAAAGGGTTAAGCTCCTATCACACTCTAAAAATGTTACCCTAAGCCCAACCTATCATGAGAAGCCCAGTTCATTTTAAATGTAGACTTATTTGATAATTAATCACAGGAACACAGTGCTCTTTGGAAACTACAATGACTTACACTCCAAAAAAGCATGCTGAGACTTGGTCATCCCTCAGACCCTTAGGAAGATTTTTTTCCCTGGTGCTGGGGATCTGATTCAGAGCCTTGTACATGCTAAACATGTACTCTACCATTGAGCTACACCCCCAGGCGCTCAGAAGGATATTTTTAAAATCAAGCAGCACAGCACCCATCTTTTCTGTAACAGCAGCTTTGACACAAATGATTTTCTTCATTTATTCATTACATTAATGGCATATGAGACTATCTCCTTATTAAAAAAAAATACTCCCTCTCCCCTTTAGTATTACAATGTCTTTGTGGTTTCCTTAAAGTGGACTGAAAGAACAAAGAGTGATTAAGTCAGACTTTGTTTAAAAACAATATTTGCATCAAACTAAATAGAAAAAAGTCAAATCATGTTCATGAAAAAATGAGGAAATACACCTGAATTAAAAACAGTTGACTTTCCAGTTTTCATCTGTGCTCAGAAAGCTATCATTCTTTCCATATGATTACAAAGAGACATGATTAAAAAGAAATGAGGGGGACAAACTGCTAATGTCATGCTAAATCCTCAAAACACCCTGAATATAACATTTCTCATAACCTGGCAATCCATATATTTAAACAACTACATAACTGCAATGGGATATATTACATGGGGTGGGCTAAGTTGCAAAAGACACACTTTCAGACTTCATGCATTATATAGGTATAACACAGTGAATTCCACCTCTATGAGTATCTATAAGGCACCAATCAAAAATAAATAAATGAGTGAAAGGAATACCAGTAGAGGAGAGGTAGGAGAATGGAGGGAGAAAAGGAGGGAAAGAGAGGGACATCAGGTATTGAAATGGAGTAAATACAATTCTGTGCATGTGTTTGTCAAAATGAACCCAACTATTATGTATAACTATAATGCACTAATACAAAAAATGTAAGAAAATAAAATAAAAAACAAATACAAACAAAAAGAAGATTGGGGTTAGAGAAAAAGTGCAGTCCTAAGCTGACACATCACACCTCCAATCACGTGAGAAAGAATGTTAGGATGGAAGAATGTCCTTTCTTAGGTGCTTGAGCACAGAGCAAGGCCTGGAATATAAGTGGTCTGAATTGGTTATTTTACTTTTGTTGCTCTTATTGCCATTTGCTTTTCTTGTAATTATTTTCAGAGAGGATCAAAACAAGGGAATAAAAATAATGGACAAATGTTTAAAAAGAGCTCATGCAACCCATGAAACATGTCAGAGGGGCTTTATAATTTCAATGTTTAAGTAAAGAGAGTTATCAAGAAATATGTATCAAATTAAAAAAAACAGTTACTGTGAAAGAATGGATAGTATTAGTGTGTATATGTGTGTACATGTGTGTGGGGGGGGGCACAAGTGTCAGAGAGACAATCACAACACATGCTCTGTCAGATTTTCCACCATATTAAAGCTTAAGAAGCTGCCCTGCTTGGTAAAGCCATCCTTAATGCTTTAAGAACCTTGCACTTCTGCACAAAAGTTGTGTGAGCCTGTATCTTTTTATTCTGGATGTTCTAAATGCCCTTTTACGTCAGTTGTCCTCGTTTCTACCTGCCAGAGAGACTTTGCTGGCCTTCAAGAAAGTGTCAAGTATCAAGAAGTACTGGAAAATGAGGTAATGGGTAAGTGGGTGTGTGCACGCATGTGTGTGCGTGTGCGTGTGTGTGTGCACACACACTACATTATCTGAAATAATACACAGGAGAGACATCTGAACCTGGTTCTGTAGGAGATGTAGTTCTCTATCTGACCGCCATGTGGTTTTTAAAAACATTTAAAAACACATACGACCTTTTCCATGGAACTATTAACCCCACAGGTCAAAAATTATGGAATAACTTACTGCAAATGTTTACCTAACTTCAATAGAGTAGGAATTGCTACATAGAATAAAGGGATATTCCTTAGGCTGTGAGGGTTTGCAAGAGGGGCAAAAAAAAAAAAAAAAAAAAAAAATGGAATCCTACCCCTACCATTTTTTCTATTGCTACCAGGTCTTGGAAGGGGAATCAAAATTGGTTAAAAGGTTAATAATAATTCATGTCCAGCTTACTATTACTCAATAACCATCAAAGTCGCTAACTCAAAATAGTGTTTGCTGGCTTACAGGATCAGAGTCATTACACTCTCTATTGAAGACTTTATTGAATTTTCCACTAAGCTTTAGCTGACTGAACAGGTCAAGCACCGTGGCTCAGAGTTTTCTTTATTCTCAGAAAGTCATAAACCCCCTCCAGTTTGCAACGCAGCTAGCTAAGAAACTTGACTCAGCGCAGGGTCAGGGAAGCCGACCTCCATGGAAAGGACACATGGTTGGAAGACCCAGTTCCTGAACACTGCTCACTTACGTGCACAAGTTGATCCTGGGTGTCAAACTCCCTTGTGCAGCCTTCCCAGTGGCAGTTGGTCTCATAGATGACTTCAGGCTCCTGTTTGCTCTCATCTTTGTCCCCTTCCTCCTTGACTAGCGTTGTTCCTTCTGGCTGTTCCTGAAAAGGTAGGGGGTTGGGAGAAGAGAGCAAGAGGGAGGAAAAAATCAGACACAATGGGAAGAAAGACAAGAAGGGAAAGCAGAAATTTGATTTGGATTTGTCTTCCTCCTGATGTAATTTTTCAGGGAAAATAAAGCAGAGTCCTGGTCTATCAGCTGGGTTTTGTAAACTCACAAAGTCAAAGACCTGGAATCATTTGTGTGCATATTTTCAGATTTGTCAAACACACCTTTGGAGAGTTTTTTAACTGGTGCTTTAAGACAACTACCCAAATCACAGTGAGATAAAAAGTCAAAGCCAGGGCTGGGGATATAGCTCAGTTGGTAAAGTGCTTGCCTCCCATGCACAAGGCCCTGGGTTTAATCCCCAGCACCACACACACCAACAATAATAACAACAAAACAACCTAAAATGTCATCTTTAAAAAAACTCAAAACAAAACCCATAAGAGAAGTCATTAAATTAGATCATATAGCCTTTTTACTCCAAAGACTGGTACTTCTACTTTGGTTGTTTTCAATCTTTTCAGTATATTAATCTGTCTATTCTTATATTTTGCAATTCAGGGTAATTTACTTCTAAGTCTCTTTTCCCTGCTGTGAGAGGCATTTTGAGGGATTACATCTTATTGGCTAAGCCTCTGGCTTCCAAGGACATGCTGGTGATCCAAGGCCCAAGAACCATAGCACCTCATGCTCTGGGACATAGTCCCCTTTCTAGTCTTCTATGGCACCTTCCCAGCAAGGTGTTACAAAAAATAAAAAAAGTTTCCAGAATTCTGGGAAATTATTAGGCCTGTGAATTTGAGTCCAAGCCCAGATGATAAAACTATTCAGGTATTCAGGTATATTCAGCAAGGTGGTTATCTAGCAAAATGTATGAGGGAGAATAGATTTCAAAACCCACATCACTGGTTCATTCCATCCTCCAAGATCTCACTGAAGAAGAAATTTGGTGCAAAGCAGTTTGAGATTTGGACTGAAGCAGCCTGATGATAGCAAGATCCAGATTCTGTGGACATACAGACTCTTGTCCAGTTCACACTTTGGGAAATTAACATTTGAGCTCCTTCCCATGTCAGGCACAAGAACACATGAGATGGTCTTTGGGGTATAACCCACACATGCTTCAAAAGAGGCTAGAGACTAAAGTACTAGAAGTAGTACAGAATCTAACTAGTCTTAGGTAGCTCATGTCTTGATCCCTCCTGGAAGTAGCAAATTCAGAAGAAAAAAAAAAAAAAGAACATGATCAGTGCAGGGAATATCAGTAGCTCTGCTCCAGCTTATGCTTGGGGCAGGAGCTCAGTAAGTCAGGTCCAGGGTCAGGGATAAGAACTGAATCCTGGTCATATCTGTGGTCAGCAACAAATGAATCCAATCACTGACTTTCTGAACTATAGCTGCCTAAACTCCTAAGCTGTCTCAGCTATCAAGAACATAGACCCCACATAGCTTTCTGCGTTGCTCATATTTGTTTTTGAGTTAGAGAAACGAATTCATTCACTCTATAACTGGTCTTTGATCAAGCACAGTAAGTATGGCCAAGTCCAACAATACAGTGGATGAGAAAGTGCTGTGAAAAGACACCAGGCAGGAAGGTGGAAACTGAATGGTCCAGGTGTCCTACCTGCTGCCCCCGCGCCCCTGGGCTGGGGAGGTCTTCGTCAGGTTTGATCTTGGACCGTTTATTGTGCATCGGGTCGCCGGTGCTGCTCACTGCAGACTCACTTGTGGGCTTGTTCTGCTGGTCACATTTGTAGGACCAAAGACAAAAATTAGTTTTTGATCAATGAAAGGGACCATAATTAAAACCTGCAACTGGAGACAAGCAGGCTTATTTGGTAATAGAGCAATGACGCTGATAATGCCCCAAATCCCTGGTGATAGAGTTCAGACAATGTGCTCAAAGGCAGAGGATATGTTCATGAAGCAGCTCTTCATTTTTGATTCACGAGTATAAACTCCCCATGGCTTTTCAAAACTCTTCTAGCTTCTGATAGAGCTGGGAACCTAGGTTTTCAACAAGCACCAGTAGCTTATTTCAAAAGAAAAAAAACTGAGAAGACCCCATCAGGAACCATTTGTGAAGTTCTTAATTAGAGAGTCCAGAGTCTTCTGCAAACAAATATCAGAGTGGCAATAACAGTGGAGGGAATGGCATCATTGTATTCTTATTCTAGTGTATAACATGGTGCTCAGTAGAAGGAGTAGATGTGGCTAAATGAGAGCTATACATTCATGAAATCTAATTTATAATAGATGTGGCTTATAGATGTTGCCAGGTCAGAGCATGGCCTTCAAAAAAAAATGACCCTTGAAAAAAATGACTCCGTGGAAGATGCTCTTGCTTACTGAGGGGCATATACAGAGCATGTTCATTAAGCTGAACAATACACTCCTGGGTTAAGAAGACAGGATGCCGGGATAAAGCTGTGAGAATGCCAACATCTTATGGTGATAATGGCTGAAATGGTGGCAAGACCTTTCTTCTGTTGACCAACATGGATAAGCTCATGAAGCTGTCTCTCTCACCTGTGAGGACTCAGAAGGGCCGGAGCTGACCTGGACTGGGTTAAGAACTGTAGGGATCCCTGGAATAGGCCTCTGTGTTGGAAAAGTTGGGGCGGGGTGAATGAGTGGAGGGCTGTGTCCAAAGGCAGAGCCTAAGCTTTGCTGTCGACTTAAGATCTGTTGATGCATATGGAGAGAGACGGGTGCAGACGGGTAGGTGAAGCTCAAGGCGGGACTGTATGGGGAAAGATAAAAAAACATGACCATCACTTACGCTGACCTCAGAGACTATCACAAATACACAACATCTGCAGCTTTAGACCAACAATGGTACCAACCCAAATCATATGAGGTCTGTTTAAATGAGAAAATAGAAATGATTGCTGCCAAAGATCTGGAAAACTTCCAAGAGCAAGATGACTACCGAGAGGAGACACGTATGTGCATGTGCACATACCCGCAGACCTGAAATAAGATTCTGCAAAACGGAAATAAAAGGCATCAGCTCAATAATAACTATTTATTGCAATAACAAACTTTATATAAAAAAGAGAATGGGCGACTACATGCTTTATAGTACTTTTATGGGCTCTGCGTTCCGTATGTTCCTGTGCATGAAGCAATTCCTTTAATCTTAGCTCACACCACGCGCTTTCATATGTCTCCAGATCTTATTACAAGAGGAAAGAAAATCAATTGGTTAAATGTGTTTTGAACACCATGCTTGTCATATCACTCATTTGTTTGTAAAGATGGAAAGCTTGGTTCATCCAGAATGCCACCTAAAGAATTTCCATCAGCGCCGTCTGGTTACAGAAGCTGATGGATTAACCTCTCCCCACTGAAATCGGTGATCAATGGGCTTCGATGGAGGAATATTCCAATGGGAGAGCACAGCTCCCTCCTCTAGCTAAACAGCATTAAATGTCTATTACAGCCCATTATGCATGCTAATGCCTGTCACCACTTTATTATGCCACAGTATCTCAGGCTATGGTAAGTTCCGAAGAAGCTCTGCTATTACCTAAAGATTTCCCGACTAGCAGGCAGTGGTAAATTGTTCTTTGTGCCAGCCACAGTTTAGGAATCAAATCCTCTTAAAAGAAAGAAGGGCTCTTGAGGACTTTGCCAATGGCTTAAAAATGCATGAAAAACTAATCATTGCATTCATGGAAATTTCCTTTTTAAAAAAATAATCAGTGAAAAAAAATTATATATGTAGCTTCCTCTCCTGCTGTGTAATACTCAGAAAGAATCAGGGTTTCTTGTAATGTCAAAGGTAGAACTCATGCAAATTTCCAATCTGGTGGGTTAATTGCTATTGCTGTTAAGCATATTAGCTGAGAATAAAATAATTACAATAACAAAATTCAGACCATTTCAACAACTTTAAGTAATAATTCCAGAGATATACTCTGTTCATTAATGTGACTCTACATTTTTGCCTATTTGACTACAATCCATAAAAGGCAGCTTCAATGGGATTACATTACTATTATTCCTACAGAGAACCTTCCATTACAATAGCTTGCCCATTTAAGACTGAATATCATTAAGAATACCCTAGGAGAATTCCACCAGGCTTTGAGGAACTCTCTTTTCATTCTGCATTGTATTTCTTTAATAAAGGAAAGCAGAAACATGGTGAAAACAGTCATTGTTCACAGTAAGTTAGGGAGGAATCAGTAATAATATTCCGTTTCTGCAGCGCTATAGTTTCTGCCAGTGTTTCCAAAAGCAACCATGAATGATTACAGCAAGACTTAGCTAAGGTAGCTGTGTGGATGATTGATAGGGCATTAATCAAAAGATGCATATCTGCCTCAGAATTTGTTCACAAGCTTTCTTCTAATAGCTGATTTCATGTTCACTGAGCTCTATGCCAGTTTGTCCAATTTATTTTTCAGTGTACAAGCCATTCATCAAAAAACGCAATGATTTAACACCACCCCCTTCCTTTGGGTGAATGGGTATTACTAAGTGTGTAACTACCTTATTCTGTTCATTAAAGAAACAAAAACCAAAGGACCCCACTTCATGTATAATTACAATGTCACGCAGACTTTGTGTGAACCTTGGCACGCCTTTCCAGAGTTCCAGGGTTCCAGACTATCAGACAGACTCAGAAAGCAGTCCCAGAAGGTCACTGACACTTCTAATTTGGCGAGGCACAGAATTTGGGGCTTAAAGAAGTTAGTACCTGATCAGGAATCAAGACCATTAAAAAAAAACGTTTCACAAGGCAGAAAATTCCCTTGGTTTTTATATACGAGCAATTCATAAATACTGATTGCCAGACAGAGAAGGCACCTTTTTAAAAAGATGCAGGAGAGAAGCCAACTGAGGCTCAACATTCCCACAGTTGTTCCCTAGGTTGTCAGTATTCCTTGTCCTCAGGGTGACTGGACAGGAGCTGCAGCACTTTCAGCATACTTTGGGAATGTCTCCTTTCCTTTGGTAAAACCAGGTGATGGAAATAAACATGCTCTAAAAAAATCCTCTTCAACTAATAGACTGCAGGCACCATGAGGGCACACATGGATCTATGATTTTCAGCCTTCCCAGCTTATACATAATGATGCAGCAAGTAAAACAAGCACTTCTCTGCATACAAAAAACTGGGCAGAGAGGCACCAGGATGCCTTCTCTTAGCCCCAAAGAGCTGCCACTTGGCTCCTGGGAGGTGCTGCAGATAGGAGAGCTGCTCAGCTCCAGATTGCAAAGCCTGTTTAGAAATAATGGTAGAAGAGGAAAGCTTTTGGCTGGGGAGTCAAAACTCCTCTGTTCTCATAAGCTGCCTGAGGAGTTCTCAGACTGTTTTCTAAGGAAAGAAGCAGAAGATGGACCGTGATTGGGCACACCACATGGGATACCAAGAACAACAGACAGAATGCCCTTTCTATAAATGATGCCTCCCACATGCACCCTCTACTCTCTTGAGAAAAATGTGTGGGGGGAGAAAAAAGCATCTGAGCGTTTCTGGTGATTGAGGGGTAAGGAAACTCAAGACACTGCCTGTTAAGCTCTACATCCAAGTGAGGAGGGCCACAGAAGAGGGGAGTCCTGCACTCTAACAAACTCTTGCCTCTCGGCACAGTAGCATTTGGCATTTGCTATGTTCCCTGCTTAGAACCTTTGCTTCCATAGCTACTTCCTTTTTGTCATTTGGGCTTCAGCTCATGCATCACCTACATACAGAGGTCTTCTTGAACCAAGGCCCTCATCAAAAGCTCCTCAGAGCTCCATCTGCATCTCCCTGCCACATAGATGTTATCAACTTTGGAGGATTCTTTTCTCATGGTGGCTGGCACACAGCATTTTCGAAAATTATATTCTTTCTCTCCCCTCCTAGAAAGGAAGGCCCAGATGAGCTGGGTAACGAACGGCACGGGACACATAGCCGGTACTCAATGCTGAATCTGTAAGTGACTGGATATCTTCCTCAGTACATTCATTTTCCTGTGCTGTTGCAACAAAGGACCACAAAGTTAGAGACTTGAAACAGCACATGTTATCCAGCATCTTACAGATATCAGAGGTCAAAAACGGGTTGGCAGGTTTGTATCTCCCTTACCTCATCCACATCTTTGAGAGGATGCTCACATCCCTTGGCTCAGAGCTTTGCCTCACTCTGATCCTCCCTTCAACTAAGCCTGACCCTCCTGCTTCCCTCTTAGGAGGACCCTGTGATCACCTTAGAGCCACCTAGATAATCCAGGCTAATCTCATCTCAAGATCTCTAGCTTCATAGCATCTGCAAAATTCCTTTTAGCATGTAAAGTAATGTATTTTTCACAGGTTCCAGGGATTATGATGTGACATCTTCAGGACCGATCATTTTTCTGTCTAGAAATAGTTATTTTTTTTACTTGAGAGAGAGGGGTTGGGGGGGGGGGGAGAGAGAGAGAGAGAGAAAAGCAACCACTTTCCCCCTGAAAACTACAACCAGACATCATGCCTATAAACTAGTGTTACATCATCAAAGCTAGTGTCTAAATTCACTTCTTCCTATAGCATCTCAGCAGCTCAGCAAAGACTTTGCAGATTACAAAGAACAGAATTAAAAAGAAAAGGTAAATTCTACCTTTAAAGGCCCTGGGTGGGGAAGGGGGCCTTCCTAAATAGTTCATGTATTCATTTCACAATTTCCTAGACACATAAAGTATTAATATTGTTGAAATTTTTCATAACTCACTACTCTCTCCTCTTCAGATCTAAAACGATTTAACACTGGAGTCTAAAACCTAAGTATTACAACCTCAAGACCGTCCCATTGGTCACCTATTCTTTTCTGAGTTACTTGATGAAAAATTAATTTTATATTCTGATTCTGAATTCTTTTCATTCAATCATTAAAAGTAATGTTTAAAAAACTATTTCTGTAGTCATCTTTTCTAACTAACTACAAGAATAGTAGAGTCCTTTAAGAAAAGAGTGACATTTATAAAAATGTGACATAATTGTTAGTCTTTATTTCATCAATAAGACCTTAGGAAGAAAGTGTTAGATGGCCCAGACCATCCCTAGCACCATGCTAACCGAATCATGGGCCCTGTCAGATAATGGTCCATTAAGGAAGTGCCAAGGGCATAAAATTCAGGGATTATGGTCCTGAAGGAACTATTAATTAGGAATATATGTTCCAAAAGTCCCATCCTAGATACTGTTTACAGCAGAATTTGGAGAAGTTTCTAGAGATAAGAGTTCCTTGAGACACACTTTGAGAAACACTTATCTAAAATATTAGTTTTAAAGAGGATAAATTAAGTATTAACTTACCCTTTATTTTACTAAAGAGTAGAAAAGAAAACAAATGTCTATTTTAGATCTCTGACTATCAGAAAAGATTTATGATCGATGGATTGTTTAAAGAGGCATTTCACTGAATACCATGATGCAGATGCAGAATTCTGGACTTCTCTATTTAAGGATAACTGCTCACAGTTACATAACTGCTCCTCCTTTATGTTCAGCTCAAAGCTGAGTTCCCAGGGATCAACCACCTGCATCTGAGTGGGAAGCATTTCTGTTTTCCACAGATTTAAAAATATAATTCTCAAAATTTCAGTCTTTTTAAGAAAGTTATGATTCGTATTTATTTATTCTCTATAAAAAATCAGAGGTATAAAGTTTTATCAGTACCCATTTACAAAGTGTGTTTCTGTTTTACAAACTAGGGCTGAGAAACAACTCAGTGGCAGAGCATGTAATTAGCATATATGAGGTCGTGGGTTT